AAACCCCTAAACCCCTCTAAAACCCCTAAATCCAAAGACAACTAGAGGTTACCTCAGGGCCAGGCTTTTCTCAGGTATTTGTCCTCGACGGTGTTGGCACCCCACCTTTCTTGGCGATCCAAGGCCCTGGAGTCGTGCAAAATACCTTTTATTCAACCCTTGTATACCCCTTCTATAGAGTCTCATAAAAGCCCCCTATATAACCCCAAGGGCCCCTTTAAGGGCCCCTCCTTGAGTCCCCTAGTCAGGAAGTGCATGTGGGACTCTCCAAAAAAGGGCTGAACCCAAGGATGACCTGACCCGAGACTGGATCTCTAGATCGCTGGATGTAAGAGAGCATGTGTATAGGTTTAGGGTTTTAGGGTTTAGGGTTTAGGGTTTAGGCTTGAGGGTTTAGGGTTTAGGGTTTAGGGTTTAGGGTGGCAATCCTGCGGTGCGTCTGCACTAGCTACAAGACTCCTTACGTTTCCGGCGTCGCGAGAGTCACACATAGCTGCTGAAAAGCCCTTCTCTAGCTCCACTGTCGAAAGGACGATGAGGGGGTTTCCCAAATAGGGGACCCTAATATAGTACCCTAAATACTAGGATCCTTATTACAAGGACCCCAAAATAAGGTACCCCCTATTTTCGGAAAGTCCCATGATGCAATCCGGGAGCACAGTAGTAGAGTCCCGGAACGTCTAGACGAAACCATGACAACTACGACTGGGCGAGTTGCTGCTCGGGCATAAAGAGGAACTCTGCGGATAGCACCTGAACCAGTGACGGTCGTCGCGTTTTGCAAGGTAACAAAACTCGCAGCTCTTGAACCATCTTGACGTTGGAACCGGAAGCAGACTCATTCAAGCTTAGCACCTCTGAAAGCAGGTGTAACCACCACCAGCCCAAAACTTTCATGAAAGTTGTAGCCCTGTCTTAACTTGCTATGTGGTTCAGCTGCGACATGAGTCGTCCTTGCACTTCCTGTGTTGAGGAAGAGGACTGGACATCTATAGCTTGGGGGTTCGGGCAAAACCCTGAACGCTGAACCCTAAAGCCTGAACGAGAACCAGTCGTCCAAGAAACCACGATCTACTCATCTACTCCCTGGTTCTTAGTGTGGAATGGGGGAATCGATCCCCATGATCGTCGCTGAAGGGTCCGCATAGTAGTCCCTATCCCCATTCCCTACCAAGAACAGGGGAGACTAGTGTAATTACATGCTGAGGGCACCCATCTTGAACGGCTCTGATCGAGCTCTGGCTTGTCCCATTTGGGGGTTTCCGAAAATAGGGGACCCTAATATAGTGCCCTAAATAACAGGATCCTCATTATAAGGACCCCAAAATAGGGTACCCCCTATTTTCGGAAACTCCCATTCGTCCCTGAGGCAGATGGCCACTGATTCTGCTAATGCACGTATCCTATTGTCAATGCGTAGGGGATTTGAAGTTTAGGGTTTAGGGTTTAGGGTTGGTAAACCCGTGCCGGACTGGACACCGCAAAGAGACACCCGATCTGCTTCATGCTTGACTGCTTTGAGCTCGACGCGCTGGACAAACACCTCAATAAAAACGACTACAGACTTGAAGCTTCAAACATGCCATGCCGGTGACCACTACACCCAAAAACCCACCGCCAAAGCCTTCACAGCCCTCCAAGCCCTACATCCTGAAACCCCTACTTGGAGGTTCATGGGTAGTTATAAGTGGGGTTATAAGTCCCCTAATAACCCTAATATGGGTTATAATTATAGTTACCCTACTTATAACCCTAATTATAACNNCATGAACCTCCAAGTAAGCTCTGAACCCACCAAGCCCAGCCTCTTCGCTTTTCGCTCCCTTGGCCTCGCAGCACAAGGCTCTGACTATTACGCTTAAAGGGATCTTGGGATGAGGGTTGAGGGCAACTCGTGCCATAGAGTTGAGGCTTATAGGGTTTAGCTGTTGAGCATTTTGACTACCGCAGGATTCTTCGCGCGGCTCCCGAAAAAGCCAGAGCACTGAACTGTCTCACTGTACCTCCCCCGAACCCTAAACCCTAAACCNNCCCCCCCCCCCCCCCCCCCCGACACGCCTCGTCTGTCATCGGGGCGAGGTTCCAGTTCCAGTAGCTTACCTTGTCGAACCTCTGTGCACCCAACTCGTCAGGTTCTAGGACAGAAGCGCTGTCACGTGTTATTTGGGGGGGTCCCAAAAAGTAGGGGACCCTAATATATAGCCCAAATAGCAGGATCCCGATTATAAGGACCCCAAAATAAGGTACCCCCTATTTTCGGAAACCCCCATTTGGGGCTCTATTTGCTTGGCGGATTTAACAGTCAGACACTTGCCGCACGTACGTCGGCTAAGTTCAGGGAAGAAGCACTCGACATCTAAACAGCTTACAACTCAGGGCCTGACCACCCGACTACCAGAGCCCAACTCGTAGGGTTTTAGGTTAGGGTTTAGGGTTTAGGGTTTAGGGTTTAGGGTTTAGGGTTTAGGGTTTAGGGAGTTTGCTTCTAGAGTTGAAAGCGATGACTTTGGAGACTTCGCGAGATGGTGGGGCCGATGCCCACGGCTGGGGCCCCGCGCGTACTCGTCTTCTTGAGCACATCGATGACACGCTGCATCTCCGGCGTGACGCTGTGACCACCCTGCTCGGCATGCTGTTCGGGTTGAGCTTGATATTCTTGCAGTGTAAGTGAAACCACTGATGCCTGACAAGTGTAAGCCAGCCTGTATGGAGTTCGATCTTTCTTGCATGGCCACTTCATGACAATGTCGCGGATGCAAGACGTCAAGGTATAAACATTGTCAACTGTCGTCATCTACTGTACTATCGTGCTCCTACACTTCATACACCTCCCCTTCCCATTTGGATCCTCTTCGTCTCCTAGTTGCTCTCCAACATAATCAGTATCGCATTCGAAAGCGTTGCTATCATGGCGGAGGTGCAGCGACACGATGCGAAGGGATTGTTTCGTTTGGCACAAAAAAGTCCAAGCTGTCGAGAATGAGCATTCGACTCAAGTGCTAGCGCAAAAGTTTTCGTGAGAAGCGCAGAGGGAAGCGATTCATGGTCGAATGAAAAACAGTCGACGGAGAAGAGGCATGTAACGAGCCCTAAACCCTAACACCCTAGACTCTAAACCCTTACCGAACTTCTCGTGCTTTCTGCATCGAAGCTTCTGTACGACTTAGCCCCAGCCATCCTCCCGCGGTGCAAGCTGGAACTTCTCAATATGGGAGTTTCGGAAACAAGGGCCCCTAGGGGAACGACAGATACATTAGATAGCAAGATGCCGGAACTTCTAGGAATCCCCATACTCCTTTGCATGCCTTTCAGGCTTTTTTCGACATCGGTGCACATGAGCCTGGCGCGAGAGCTTCGCTCCCGTGACAAACCGCGAACTACAATGTCTGCGCGACGAAGAATGTCTATGCCAGGGGTACCTTATCAATCGGTTTATCTTTTGAATGCCTTTTGCGTTTATGAATACAGAATAGGAAACATAATAGCATTAGTAACCGTTTTAGATGGAGCGCGTTGCGCCGAATCACGACGGTTGTGATGATGTTTATGTGATGACAGCGGTGGTTGGGTGTGTTTTTTGCTGCGGCTGCGCCTGCGGCTGCTGCTGCTGCTGCTGTTCCACACCTATTCGAGCCTATTCCTACTCCCTTCCAAATCCCGCTCCAGTTCTCTACTTCTGCTCCACCTCCTCTGCTCTTCCTCCTCCTTCTCCGCCTCCTAGTGCTAGCACTCCTGCTCGTGCTGGCGGTGCTGCTACAGCTACCACCAGCTGCGGCTTGGGTTACGGATGTGGTGTTTGAGATTTCGGCATCTTCATAGGATTGGGCCTCGTAGTTTCGAGCTCAGGACGCGGGTGCTTAGGGCTTCTGCTTAAGAATACAACAGACATGGACGGGGAGATGGGCCTCGGGGAGTAAGCGACTGGGACCAGGGTACCGCGATGGTCCCCCCAGCTGACTCAAGACTGGCTGTGGATATTCAGCTCTGAAGTCCGCAGCATGTCATCTGGATCATCCTTGTCTGATGCTTCCACATCTTGGGCGGCTCTGGTGCAGATTTGGCCGATGACTCTCAGGAAACTCCCTCTCAGGCATGCTCCTTCCATCTCCTTCCGTTTCCTGGTCCTCCTTCTTGTTCAGTTCTCCGATGAATCATTGCTGCCACCAAGAGCTTGTTGACAAGTTGCGCCGCGGCAACATTCGACAGAAGCCGAATGACGTCCACAGTTCAGGTGCGGCTTGTTCCTGCTTGCAGGAAGAAGAAGAAGAAGCCGTGCCAGGGAGCTCTGTTGTGCATGACGAAGACAGGCGATCGGCGGCACCTGCAAACCCGATGCCCTCAGCTTGACACAATGTATCAGTGCGAGGCACATCAAGCGAAACTCTAGCACCGAAAGACGAAAGCGCATGTACCACCTCATCAAAGCCGAGATGCCCTCGAAAGTGACAATCCAGGCGCACGTCGTATCATGTCCACAGAGACTCCACTGCACTCTTCAGATCCTGTTCTGTTTCGCTTGAAGCTGCTCGGGCTGTGGGAAAGCCTATGTGCAAATTCTATAGACCCAGAGACTCCAATATCCCTTAATTAAGGAATATACCTTAAATCTTATTGGGGTTCCTACTGTAATTTAAGGTATATTCCTTAATTAAGGGATATTGGAGGCTCTGGGGAAGCCCGGAAACCCCCAGCCCTAAACCCAAAATCCCGAATCCCATGACCCCTGCAGGCTCCTCCTTCTGGTAGCTATTTCCGTCCAATCCCTGCCAAGGTTCCTCCCGTCACTGGGGGTTTCAGGTTTCAGGTTCGGGGGTAGGGTCGGTAGGGTGTCCAGGGTTTGTGGTTACTTGGAGGCTCATGGGTAGTTATAAGTAGGGTTATATGTAGGGTAACTATAACTATAACCCATATTAGGGGACTTATAACCCCACTTATAACTACCCATGAACCCTACCCTATACCCTAAACCCTAAACCCTAAACCCTTAAAGGAACCCTATAAACCCGCTTATAACTACCCATGAACCTCCAAGTAGGGGTTCGGAGAACGGAGTTCTTGTCAGGCGGTGCCTTGAGGATCTTAGGGATACCGGTTTAGGGTTTAGGGTTTAGGGGTGGGGATGTTGGTAAGCATGTTGCCTCACCGTTCTGCTGAGCTCCCTACTTAAGTCTCATATACTCGAATCCTAAACTTGTACGGATATTTGGATATGGGTAGTTGTCAAAATTATGGTCCCTTTTGGGGTACCCTAAATAATAGGTGCCGTATTATAATAAGGACCCAAAAAGGGACCATAATTTTGACAACCACCCGTATAGACATATAGACATACTATGAGAGTGTGAATGCCAAGCCTGAGCATCCAAGCAGCTTCCGTGCAGTCCAGGATGGAGGGTGGCTTAGGCTCGACTTGGACCCTGAAGAACCTGCCTTTTAATTTTACGGGGCTCCTTATGATGATTTCTTTATATAGGTCCTATCAAAGAAAGGTGGGATTTTTAGGGTTCCTTATTCTCATTTCCTTGTATAAGTCCTTAAAAAGGTAGGTGTTTACGGTCCCTTACTATGACTTCTTTATATAGGCCCGTAAAAAGGTAGGTTCTTTGGGGTTTCGGTCGGGTTTAGGGTTCAAGGTCAAAGTGTCGGGGCTGTGAGTCGCCATGTACTTGCAGGAACCTTGCTCTTGTGAGCTTGGGGTTTAGGGTTTAGGGTTTTAGGGTTTAGGGTTTAGGGTTTAGGCAGTCTGGTTTGGGGGTCCTTATCGGGGAAGTTCTCTAGATTAGGGTCCTTCCTTTTTGTAAGGGCGCCCTACTATTTTGGGGGACCCTGGAAAGGGACCCTAATTTGGAGAACTACCCAGATGAAGGATACTGGTACCTAGAGTCTTCGGACCGGTAAACTCCCACATGGTCAGTCTTGCTTCTAGTCTTGGAAGCCGGCAGGTGAGGCAGCTGCGGGCTTAGGTTAAGGCCTTAGCGATCAGACGCGAGATGAAAGATGTGCACATGGGAGGAAGGATGCATTGTCTTTCTTGGCTGCCATGAAAGGAAAACTTGACCCAGAAACCCTCTGGTAGAAACCTATTGAGGACCTATTGACTTCGAACCCCACTCCTCAAATGCAGTTAAATGCAGGTGTCAACTTCTTCGTTGGAGACTTGTTGCAAAGTCATGAGCCATGAAACCACACCACAGTCTCGGTGTCCTTCCAGTGCATCCGCGGATCCACCTTCTTGTTGCCGCCCAGAAGCATACCCATCCTTCCAGGCTTCGCAGCCGCAGTTTTCTAGGTTTCGGGCTGGGGAAAGAGGGCCTCAGAGATTTGAGGTTGAAGAATTGCTAAGGCTCAGGGAGGGTGGAGTTTTGGGGATGTGGCTGGGGGAGGCCTTCCCGGGGTTGGGGGGCACGCATTTGCGCTGTAGGATCGGGTTCGCTACACAGACCATTCGTTGAAATCCCAGTCCTACACCAAAACTCCTCTCTACATCCTACACCAAGCCCTAAACCCTTCAAGCCCTACTTGGAGGTTCATGGGTAGTTATAAGTAGGGTTATAAGTAGGGTAATTCATATATTAGGGGACTTATAATCCCGCTTATAACTACCCATGAACCTCCAAGTAAACCATAAACCCCTAGGCCCGAAGCTCTAAAAGCCTCTAACACGCCTAAAAAACCCTAAACCCTAAACCCTAAACCTCTAAACCCTAAACCCCGACACCCAAACTCCCCAAACCCAGAACCTGGCTCCTCAGCACGTCAGCCCTGCAACTTGCGTGTGCCATCTTTTAGTTCTCCGGTAACAGATGGATCTGCTAGGCTTCAGCGTTTAGGGTTTAGGGTTTAGGGTTTAGGGTTTAGGCTTTAGATAATTAGAGCAGGGTTCCCTTCATAGTCTACGAGAGTTGCCATAAGGGTGGGTTACTGCAAGGGTTAGTTATCGGGGCCTTACTTGTTGGAATATGGTTGTGGGGGTACACCAAAGTAGTGCTGTTATGTATGTACAGCAGAATCAATCAAACTGTGTCTTGTATGGGTCCAAGGCCCTGATTTGCTTAGGACACGAGATCTTTCCGAATACAAGAAGGACTACGTCATACTGTCTGTTTGATCCTACATAATCCCCCTAAGCCGTAAACTTGCCATACACCTCTCAACACAAAGCTCCAACCCGCAAACCCCAAAGCCTTTTTGCCAGCTCTGGCGGCATCCGAGTGCCTGCCTCGCCAGAAGGGATTGCATGCTGAGGTGGGGCTGTCGGAACCGCAGAGTCCGGGTCACTAGGGCTTACAGGCTTAAGTAGAGGGGTTCAGGGCTAAGCGGTTCAGAGGATTTAGGGCTGAGAGGTTCAGGGCTGCAGAAGCTGTCGGCAAGCGAAGCTTTAGGGATTCGGCTTTCGGAATGCATTCTGGAAAACGTTCGGCATGTTGCCCTGGCCTTCTCGATCACGTTAGCTATGAGTTCCATGGCATCCTGCTCACGGTCGGTCAGGATGGAAATGGCCACGCCTTTCCTGGGATTTGCTGCAGACACTCTCGCCTGAAGGCCTCCCCTACCTGCCGACCCCACGCACATGTGTACATCTTCGGAAGGGAAGCTGACAAGAACCAACAAGAAGCGGATGCTATGTGTGTATACCACAGCCCAGACATCCTAACTGCGTTGAGCCTTCTGATCTGGGAGTTTCCGAAAATAGGGGACCCTAATATAGCACCCTAAATAATAGGATCCCTATTATAAGGACCCCCCAAAATAAGGTACCCCTCATTTTCTGAAACTCCCATCTTTTTGAAGCATTCGGCAGTCTAGGCTTCGACGTGGGCCGCTCCCTTGACGGGCAAGGCCCCAACACGTTTTCAATCTTAGCACATGGGAGATCCCAACATTAGGGTACCTTATTTGGGGGGGTCCTTATAATAAGGATCCTATTATTTAGGGTACCATATTAGGGTCCCCTATTTTCGGAAACCCCCACATCTTCGCGAAGAACACCGAGTCACGCCCGTACATTGTTTTAAGCATTGCCAGTGTGTTTTGCAATGAACAAGGAGATCGACCAACACAAAAGCAGAGCATGTGCATACGAGAGTGTTGAGACCTAAAGTCACTCCAGTCTCCATCGAGGTTCCTTTGTTGGTACCTAATTATACGATTAATGATCCCAAAAGGTAACCAAAACAGGAACCACAACAACGGAGAGTATAGATGCAAATACACAACTCAGAGAACAGAACAGTCTTCGGACGCAACCTGTGCTTGCAAGGCATAGAGCTCTATGCCTGGGCACCCGAAACCCTAAACCGTATAGGGTTAAGGGTTTAGGGGGATTTAGGGTTTAGGGTTTAGGGTTTAGGGGGGTTTAGGGTTTTGGGTTTACGGGGCTTTATGGTTTAGGGTTTATGGTTTAGGGTAGCAGGATCCTTAGTACAAAAACCGACATCAACGAGCCCGGCTCCTCAAGCCGCAAGCCACAAAAGGTGACAACAACGCATACGTGCTGTAGGGGTTGTTAAGTGTGGGATCCTTTTTTGGTATAAGTACATATAAGTACATATAAGTTAAAAAAAGAAACCCTAAGGCAATTGTTATTTTTAGCCACTATTTTGGCTTCTATAAATACACACTTCCCCCGCTCACCACAATTCCACGGCTTGTTTGCATCGAGGCACCCCTGCCGGCCGGTTCGACCGATACCTGGCTGCAGATGTACCGGCAAGTAAAGGCTGTGGGCTTTTGGAGCTTTCAGGTCATGTTCAGTAGCTTTAATAGGGTTTAGGGTTTAGGGTTTAGGGCTTAGGGTTTAGGGATTTACGGAACCTTGGGGGAATAAGATTGGTGCATATTCCGACGCAAAATGGTAGAACTTTGCCCGTGACGCGCGGCTCGCAAATAAGTTCTTGAATCCTCAAGCCGGGGCCGTAAAGAAGATCACACTACTACTGACATCATCACCAGGTTCACTTATTGTGTGATGGTGATGGCCATGATGCTGATGATGACAGTAGTCCTCATCACCATCATCATCATCATCCTCATCCTTATCACCATCACCATCATCCCACCGCGGGTGCAGTCATCGGCTTCGTCATCAACATGGCCTCCTGCTTCACCCACCGTCCCTGCCATCCACCTAGTCATAACAAGACGAGCCAAACAGCCTGCCAAGGACTGGCAATGCAAGGTTCCGCACGCCTAGACCGAAGCCTGACTTCGGGGTTCGGGTTCATCTCTTGCCGCCAAGGAGGCGGTGTATGTAGTCCTCGGCATTACGAGGGCAGTCGTAGTTCACCACCTGATGGGTCGAATGCTTCTTACTGGAGAGCTCAGGAGAGTTTCCTCATATTGACGAATTCTCATACTATAACACGGATCGCCCTCCGTTGGGAAAGGCGCACAGAAGGCTGCATCTCTGATAATGGACAGACCGAGCTTCGAGATTGACGTTGCTCACGTCGATGCCACGCCCGGCCACATCCGTGGCGAGCAGGACCTTTTGCGATACTGTTCTACTGAACGTACAACTCAAGAGGATACCGAAGCCGGGGCAGGGCGAGCAGCGTGCTACGGCTTAGGGCTGAAAGACCCCATGAACTTAAAATTCGTGGGAGCGTCACAAGAGAACGATCACAAACTCCCGAGGCCCGTGTAAACCGCCATACAAAAGCAGAAACTTGCCCCGGTCCCGTCCTGCACCTGGCCCTTCCGGAAATGGTCCAGAACAGCCTGCGCTTCCGGAACGCTGGAACTCCACCGAATGCTACTCCTACTGCGCCTAAACCAGATTATACAGTATGCCTCAAAGTTCCTTAATGTCGTTTACAACAACAAGTTTTCTAGATCCCGAAAACCCTACTCAATTGACCCTGAACCCTAAACCCTACTGTAGGGGCCTTAATAATCAGACTAGGGGTTGGGGGGGTTCCTTAAAATTTTTTTAGTATAATGGATCCCCAAACCCTATTTCAATTATTAAGACCCCTGCATTATATTAAACGGAAGTTTGCGGAGTTTCAAGATTCTTGAAGCCCCATACCTTAGGCTTGGGGCTTGGAAAATGTTGGACAGGCTTGGGTTCTTTTTTTTGACGGCGAGGGGGGAACGCATCTCACCACTTTTGAGGTTACTTTTCGGGTTTAGGGTTTAGCTCTATCAAGGAATGCTAAAAACAAAGAGTGGTGATCATTCAAATCCGGTGCACCTGGGCTGGTGCGAAGGAAGGGGCAAGAAACCGGAAACCTTCATGACTTGAAGAGTCCGATGTGGCTGAACCCAAGCAGGATCCTCATGACCCTGAATCGGCATCTCACGTCCAAAGCCTCCTGCGGCATAGGATTGTTGAGGAGTTTAGGATATGGTCCATACCTCCGATTTGTCGTTCTTTTTGGAAGACATTCGACAAGCTTCTTGGGTAACTGCCTGCACAATGATAGATATAAGAACCGAGCCTCGCGATCTCGCTGGTTTCGATCGCCGTGGATTGCGTCACAAACCAAAGGCACCCTGCCTGGGGCAACAGCCATCAACTCGAAGCCACTTGCCACCACGCACTAGGAGAAAACAACTTTTGAAGCAATTTCTGTGGATTTGGCTTGTGTATGAGATATGTCCGTCTGTGCGAACTTCCCAAACCTGCACCCAACATCATCACGAGATTCCTAATCTGGGGGCCACCATGATTAGAATAGGGTGTTTGGGGCCCTTCTACTATAAATACAATAAGGAACCCTCAACATAATATAGGTAATTTTTGAGGCCCCTACATTGCACGCGCACACACACACACACACACCCTAAACCCTAAACCCTACACTCACACACACACACACACACACTCACACACACACACACACACGCACTGACACACACACACACACACGTACACGCAACACGTACGTGTCTGGTAGGAGCCTCCTTTGAAGGCTTAGTTTGTTCCTTTATCGGATCTGGTCTATTCAGCCAAGTGGCCAAGTAGATGGCGAATTCTATGTGATGGGTTCAGGCTTTAGGGCTTGCGGCTTGAGATCAGAAGTAGGGGCAGGGAGAAGGCAGAGATAAGTGGATAATGTCTACATCAGGACTTCGCCACACTCTTTCCGGCGAGCCCATTTAGCTCTAAGCCAACGCGTAAACCATGAAACTGGATCTCCGATGTCTCGGCAAATTTCGAGACCAAAAGATCCATGCTCTAACCTTCATCGGAAGACCCTAAAGCAGACGAGATGTTGCAATGTGTGAATCTCCAGCATCTAGCACCTCGTAGGCTCCTCTCCAGCTGCTGGCAGGTTCTCTTCGTGGCGACGAAGACGATCGCTTTAACGTTCTTCCTCCCTTTCCTCGCGTCGGGCTGGGTGTTAAAGTTTTGAAGCTTTGCGCTGCGCCTGGAGGGCTTGATTCATTGGCCTCAAAATGCCGGTTACCCTAAGGGCCGGACAGGTGCCTAGCACAGCCAAGAGCAGTCATCGAAGAAGATGCCTACTTCGCGTGGCATGGCAGCGGGCTCTGACTTGTGAACACATGACCCTACTTGCCTGCAAGTCACAGGAGCGCACACAGCGCCGAAGGCTTCTCACAGTCGTCTCGCAGGAATATGACGTCCTGAAGCGTTCATGCCAGGGAAGCGCCCGGTCCTACCTGGAGGTTCATGGGTAGTTATACGTGGGGTTATAAGTCCCCTAATATGGGTTATAATTATAGTTACCCTACTTATAACCCTACTTATAACTACCCATGAACCTCCAAGTACCTGCACTCAACAGGAACCCAACTTGCCAAGGCCGGGAACAAAACAGAAGCCGGGTCCTGCACGACATTGGGGTTGGTACTGAAGGAGGAGTCGCCAGCCTTAGAGTCACCAACAGAGCCCAAACTCGGGCGGTTGAAGACTTGAAGGATTTTAGGTGGTTGGCCCCGCAGCATGCCTACCAGTACTCTCGCCAAATACAACCTGAAAAGGCACCGGAAACAGAAGTACTTGAAGCATTTATGCTCCTAATTCCATCGGTCGGGGCTGCTCTCTCTCTATCTCTCTCTCTCTCTCTCTCTCTCTCTCTCTCTCAGTATCTATAACTGCAACTGTTGCCATAGCTGCAGCTGCTCCTCCTACTACGACGACTACTAACTTTATTCTTGGTAAGACAAGGAGGAATGTTACTATGCTGGCTGAACCCATGCAGTCAGAACCCAGTTTTGCAGCGCAGTGCTGCAGAGCGACACCCACGCGAACCTCGACGGGCTGTCGCAAGACCGAAAACGCAAATGCCTGGCTACAGAGGGGCTATACTAGGGCTTGGGGTATATTGTACCACAATAATAATAATATACTAGGGCTTGGGGTATATTATACCATAATAATAATAATAAGGAGCCCTCAAAATCCTATTCTAATTGCTAAGGCCCCTTGCTTGGATGGGCCGGGTGGTTG